TGAACAACATCGAAATGTTGTGTTCTGTTATTGTTGTTGTTGTTGTTACTACTACTACTACTACTACCAATCTATGATTTCTTTTTGTCTACCACACTATTCTTACAACCCGGTCGAATCGATTAATGGTCAACAAATTATTTATGTAAATGTAAAATGATTGAATGTAAGAAGCTAACTGTTTACTTCTTACTGCTTCTACGTCAACACACATACACATAACAATAAGAGAGAGAGAGAGTATATGTTTCGAGAGATTACGACTGGCATACTACTCTTTAATACATCAATTGACTGTTCTAGTTAACCGAACAAAAAATCAGATTTTTAGCGTTGAATTATGAAATATCTAATTTATTGTGGTTTAACTTCTCGGTTTTTATTCTGCTTTGAGTAAATACACAATATATCTAAACGTAATTAGATACTTCAAAAGTGAACACTTGTTACTCTCGCTCTCTCTCTCTCCCGCATATCCTTCATGTGCCTCTTTTCTCCAGAAAAATAATAATCAAATGTGTAATTTATTTCCTCTAACACATGTAAACATGTTCATTTGATTATTTTCATTATTTCTCTTTGCATACACAAATTGAGCCTTCTTTTTCATGTTTCTATTTTGAACTAATTCTGCGTATACATACACACTATTCTCCACTACTACTACTACTAGTACCTCGCATATATCACATAAAATGTTCTGTTTTTTCTAAAATAAGTATTTTATTTTGTGAATAGTAATACATATATAAATTACTAACTTTTACTTCCTCTCTCCTCATTATTAGCATCCCTTTTTTTATTACAATAAAATAATCTAATAGTCCTACTTTGAACCAACACCTTCATTATCTTTGCTCTTCCTTTACTCTTCTTCATTTTGAATGAGTGAACAATTTTACCTTTTAGGTTATCAATTACCTCTTATTTGATTCGTATCTAAAACACAAATATTCTGAAAAAATTAATTTTTTCTCATTATAGAAAAAAAAACATACTGTTCGAGGTGGAAAAAAAGACAACCTAGCGGTACTTCATCCTTGAACTACATACACACATTGTTTCTATTTCACATTTGATTTTTCTAATGTTTCGTTTTGTCTGTAACGAAAGTAAACGAAATAGATTTATCATTTTGTGTATGTATGTATTTTTTTGATTAAAGGCTCTCTCTCTCTCTTCCTACCCTCCACTTTCTCCGACATTCATCTAGTTTTTTTCTTCTTTTTGTCCATTTGTGGTGTGTATCCTACTGGATGCCATGGTTTAATGCTTATATTGAATGTATCTATATGTCAAAGAGTTTTCTTTCTTTCTTGCTTGTCGTGTAAGTGATTATGAAGGGAAAGATGAGAAGTATCGTGGTGTTGTTAATTATTTTGTTATCTGTACTCTGAGAGAGAGAGAGAAAAAAAACAGAGAGTATTAGTGAAATAAAGCACGCTTTTTTAGACCACTACATTCATCCATATATACACCGCGATATGTTGTTGTGTTTTCTTCGAGCAATCAGAGTAGGCTGTATGTATGGTGTACGGGAGATTGTGTTTTTATACTGACTACTGTTTCCAATGTTTTATGTTGTATGGATAAATGTGTATGTACAGAAACTGTTTTCACATTTTGCTCTCCTTTTCCTCAGCTTCTAGAGAGTTTGTTTACATTGTTTCTATCTCTTCTGTGTACGGTTTAATCATCGGTATTTCAGTTGACCATAAATAATTTGTGATAATAATTATTAATAATAATATTATTATTGGTAAATATTTTCGTTCTTTGATAAATAACGATACATATTTATACCAAGTACAGGTTTTTTTATATAAAATTTTATGCTTCACAGCTAATGATACTAGCTATACTAATATCAACTTGATCGTTGTACAATATAATATAATAATAATAACTGTGATATTATGATGACATTGGACTCAGTCTTATGGAAAGCATCAGTTCTCCGAAGATTCTAGGTATATCTTATTATGCCAACTAGTTGTATGTATGCAACTGAAATTCGATGGGCACTAAGAATTAGCCAACTATAAAATTGTTAGTAGTAATCATATCTTCATTAGTAATTAACTTCACCAAAAAAAATTCTCGTACCCAAATGGAGTATAACCATGTCAGGTGTAGGTCAAGTACCACCACTGGCAATGGATGATAGTTCCGCTATATTACAAATTGACTGAGATTGAATTTGTGAACTGTCAAATCCAAACTCAATAATTCAAATTTTAAGTACTAACGAAAATTGAAATTTTTCAATCGATTACCGACGGGATCGTAGATGGGCACTGTTGATGAAACAGTTATCCAGTTCTTGATTTTCAGGGATTCTTTAACTTAAGTCAATCCATTATTTAAACTTCCAAAATAAAATGTTCGGCAAAGAGACTTTGCTACTATTACGAAAGGGGCTGCATGAAACCAGGTAATGTTAGAATTGCTTCACTTCGATGATCACAGCAAACTTATCATCCCTAATCTACTAATTAAGTTGTTTGTTGACAAGTTCAATTATTTCTTTGTTCCAGGTCAGTTTATGTTTAGGAAACATTTCATTGTTAATTTTGGCACCATCCTTTTAGTTGTTACCAAATAAATAAATTTCAGAAGCTTGTAGAGGCTAATTTCCCTTTTATCTGACTACATCCCATTAACTGAGTTTTTAATGCAGACTATATCTCCTAACAGAAGTATGGATTTATTTAACATTTATTCAAAAGCCTAAACACCAGTTATAGAGATAGTTTATTGTTAAAGATTGGTAAAATCCGTAAGCGTATAGGAAGCAAGCACATAGGAAAAACAAGTGTGTGTGTTTGAGTGTTAAAAATCCATATATATTAATGAGTGTTAATCAAGCATGGATAAATTATTGATTGTCTGTATATTACAACCAATGGGAGAATAATTGACACGGCTCGGATAGCTCAGTGGTAACGTCTCTGACTGTGAAGCTTGGTGACACGAGATCGAATCCGCCTGGAAGCACTAGTTCCCTCAAGATTACAGGTACACCTTGCTGACGAGTGCCAAGTAGCACGAAACCCGGGTCCAGGATTTCCTGTTGACTACCTCCAACTACCATCTAAATAATTGACATATGCTCAATCAGACTCACACAGAAAATTACATAGTGGATTAAGTGCCTAAATTACAGTGAGCAGATAAATAATACAATAGTTGAACGGGTTTCCCACAAGTTTACATCAATAATTTCCATTATATTCAATAATTTATATGTTACACGTTCTGTTATACCGAAAATGTGTCAACTAATCTTTTCACATAATTTGTATTAATCGTTATTTAAATATTGACTGTGTGAAGTATTCAAATCGGAGCAAATATGAAATAATTTCACATTCCATTACCTAGTCACCAATCACTAATTTCAAGGTAAATTTCTAAATAAAACCATTTTGGTAGTTTGATAACTCATAGTACTGTAACGAAGATCTTAAACCAGTAATTGGATTATTAATTTGAAAGAAAAATTGTGTAAGTTCGTAAATCCAGCCGTGACCAGTGAAGCTAATCCCTATCGGGTAGAAAAAGGTGTCTACCTCAGTACAGTGGGAGATGGTCGCGCAATTTCGTGGATTGGTTGATGTTGGACACTAAAACCATTGGATGCCGGCTCAGTTGTCTGCTCTCGCGCGCGAGACTGAAGGTCCTGTGTTGGGATCTCGCGAGCGGAATCGTGGATGCGCACTGCTGAGGAGTCCCACAATAGAACGAAACGGCCATCCAGTGCTTCCAGGTTTTCACTGATGTTCTAACATCAATCGATTCATGATCTCAATCAAAAATCTTTTTTTGTTTAGCCATTCTACATCTATTTGATTCAAGCTTACACTTATCAGTTAATCTTCATCTAATCAATTAAATTGATTGCATTGTATATCAGTGTATCTTTTGAAGATATACATTTACATTAAATCGTACGAAAGAAAAAAATCGAGACTAATTGCTTTCATTTTATTAAGTTATACAAATTTACATCTATTTTGATTGTTGTTGGTTTTGATATTAAAGAAAAAATATATCGTCTAAATGTAATCCGACATGAATTCAGAAATTAGTCATTCACAGGTAATGGAATAAATGTTCCAGTTGTACCCATTGATCTATCATCAGCTTCTTTATATTCACCTATTAATCGTTTCGATGATTCTGGTCGTTTTCTTTCATTGACTGCCATACCTCTCCATAATATTTCATTTTTGAAAAAGTATTCTTTAAAATCAGCGTTTTGTTCTTCTGTTCGTTAGATACATATGTATGAAAAGGAGGGAAATAATAGATCAAATTTGACAAACATGAGCATGATAGTTTTTAGCGAAAAAATTTGCTTCTCTATACATGCTTGTATGCTTTCTTCGAACTAACTTTCGATTGCGTAATAGTATTACCAAGATGACTACGGATTAAATAGAGCAAAACTGATATTACAAACATAAATTGTTTGTGTTGCAACTCAATTATTCTTGGAGGTTATTACATAATTGTTTAATACTGAATGAGTTATTTAGTTGGTACAAATCACCTAGGATACATCAAGTAGTATTGAGAAGTTCATATTGATAATCGTTTAATATAGAAAATCTATGGAGAGTTCGTACTTCCATATTTTATATCACGGACTGACCTCAGTTATATAAACAATGTAAATCAGAAAGTGCTGGACAGTTGTGTCGTTTTAGTATAAAATTCTCTACAGTGCACATCCATTATTCCACCTAGTATGAAAGCCAAAACTCTAAGGTTTCCCGGTAAACACTTAATATTTGGACTATTGTGTTGATATGATTTGCATTTCTAACTTCAATCAATTAGTGATATTGCACAACCACTTTGTACATTACTGAAGAGTCCCATAATCGGGAAAAAACTGTCAAGTACTTGATTTTCAACAGGTCTTCAAGACAAGCCTTTTGTACAAACTATGATCATTAAGTACATTCATCATTATGCATTAAGAAATACGTAGACTGATTTTTACGTTACTTCAATATTCCATTATTATAATTAATCATATATTTAAAGTAGGGAGCTTGTAAATCAATCATCTTTGTCCTAGTCATAATTAGAACCACAGTCAAATGGAAATATGTATATGTTTATCAAAACGAACAGATTGTATGATTTCAGAGAAGAATATGAACAGGTCATAAATGAAATGTTTGGAGATTCAGTAAGATTGGTTAGCTTGTTCGGGCAATGACAGAAATTTAACCACAAACAAGAGTTGTAACAAACGCTCCAGCTGGAATTTATTGTCACAACTTTTCGTGCTACTTAATCCTAGTTAGTAGTATAAAGTGAAACAAAAAAAAACTCAAGTCCGTAAATAGGGGCTGGATTTCACGAATTCCCGAGAATTATTAGGAGCTTGTCATTGAAGATAGTCTGCAATCAACAGACACATTATTAATAGATTTAATATATCAATTTAAAAGGAAAAATTCTATATATCACGTAATCACTGGGTAAAACACCTGTATGATGAATGAGGTTGATAAAACCTATAAAGACAATCGGTCGAGAACATTGTCATTATGGAAGACTGATCTAATGATGGTAGATTAATTGAAGTAGGCACTAAAAAATGTTTCAATAAGGACAACTAAATTTCCTCAAATGAACCATCCAGCTCAGAGTAGTCACCATTTCAAGTAAGCGCAAGGCTCCTATCAACATAACCTGTCAGGACCCCGGTAATAGTTGTTGCATACGAATTAAGAACCTTGAATTTACTTTTAATCTTATCATTTTGCAAGTATCAAAATGTGTAAATATGCCCTTATCACCTATCTAATTACTTTATCAATGTCGTATTGATGTTAAGATTTCTACTAAATTGAATGATCGATTCCAAATTAATTTCCTAATTGTAACGTGTTCAATATGAAACACCAATGTCTTGAGTTATGCCTTGTAATTATTTCATTACGTTCACTGTTTTCCTAATCCGAGACGATGTTTCAAGTCCTTAATAATTCTTCAACCAGTTGCGAACTATGAATAAGCTAACTTCATTAGATATAATTTTTCCCATACCTTGGGATAAAATGTAATAGCTTACCACTTTAAAATCACATATATATTATTATTAACTAATTATGTTCCATGAATACAATGCATAACGTCATAGTGATTCAATCAGTTAAACAATTGATCATCTCCGAAGGATGATGTAATACTCATCTCGATGGTACCTTCATATATCATGTAAATTAAAGGTAGGTTGTATGAGATCCATACATATTTTTCCTAAGGTCACATGTAATCGCTTAATAAATACCTTTCTTCTTAGTTCAGGAGTTAGCCTTGAGAATAAAGTCTCTTCCATATATTTCCACCTGTTTGATTTCGTTCAAAACGCAAGTGACAACGGTTCCAGGAGCCCAAAAATCGACCAGCAAAACACCTCTAACATTAAGTTTATCAGATATATGCAATAATAATAATCATAATTATAGTAATTTATTCATTTTTCCCATTAACTCACTTAAAATGTCTTTAATACTTCTATTGTGACCACCATATTCTCTAGGAAGTACACTTTCAAGACCGGGTACTTTTTCATAGGCTTTCTTTATATTACCTTTTACTCTTATAAACTGTTGGAAAAGAAAAAAAAAGAATAAAAACTTGTTTTAAGTCAAGAGCCTAATAACCATTTGTATGCGATTCTGTCGATTTATGCAACAAGTGAGTAATTATGTGACATAAATGAGAAAATCATATCCGGTTGTGAGTTAATTGTTCATTAATGTCAATAAATGAGGATTCCAATGTAGTAAACATTGACTAAATATCAACACGTGAATCGTTGGTACTGGTCAGGAAATGTTAATGCTGTGTGCAATATTAGTATTAGCCTGGATCACATGTTACGAAGTTATTTAATTTCATTAAGCTTACCTTTCTAGTCTTCCTTATGTAAACCATTTGAAACCAGGACGTACTGAACAATTACTTTGTGCTAGTGCGAAACTAAATCTGCGTGCTCCTTGACCCCATCGAGGATTGAAACGAGAACCCGCAGATTTAACTTTGATTCGTCCACAATAGTGTGCGACCATCTTCCATAACTTTCTGCGATTATTTCTTAAGATTTCTTTTTTTTCATCAAAAAACTTGGAACACACAAGGAGTTGATCGAGTTTAAACCTAATAATATATCTTTATTTTAAAGCTTCTGTACACGTACATACAAGCGAACATTTATGTCAGCCACAATGTCAGTAGCTAAATTTATAGTAGAATCTACCATAGAATAATTTATAGTTTGTTATGTTCTGCCATCCGATCCAATCGCTTCTGAATTCCTAATTTTTTACCAACCAGTTACGTTGAGTAAAATAAGCCTCCATGGAAAGCGTTATTTCGAAAAGCCTAACAAAAATATTCACGGCTGAAGAATACCTATGAGTGACAATAATGATAGCAACATATGAACGCTGACCTTTCCCAAATGAATAACTCATTACCTCTTGTCACGCAGCCTGAATACAACCATTGGTCTATTCCACTTTGCCCGTTATTTACTTACTTACGCCTGATACTCCTAATGGAGCAAAGGCCGCCGATCAGCATTCGCCAACCCACTCTGTTATGGGCCTTCTTTTCTAGCTCCATCCAATTCTTGTTCATTTTTATCATGTCTATTTCCATTGCCCAGCGTAATGTGTTCTTTGGTCTTCCTCTTTGAGGATTCCAAGTGAGGGCTTGCCTTGTGACGCAGTTGTGTTCTTTCCTTAATGTGTGTCCTATCCACTTCCAGTGCTTCTTCCTAAATTCTTCCTCCGCTTTTAGTGCCTCTGTTGGGATGTTGTCCGGTCCTGCTGCTTTGCCACTCTTGATTTGTCTGATGGCCATGCTGATTTCTTCAATTGTTGGTGGGCCAACATCGATTGGGAGGTCCGTAGATGCTGCTTCGATGTAGGGTGGGTTCAGTCTACTGGTCGATTCAACAGTTCTTTGAAGTGTCCTACCCACCTGTTTTGTTGCTGTTCAATGTGGGTGATTACCTCGTCTTCCTTGCTTATCACTGGTCGTTCTGGTTTGCGGCGATTTCCAGAGAGTTTCTTTGTCGTGTCATTCAATTGTCTCATGTTTCCTTCTCTTGCAGCCTTTTCCGCCGTCGTTGCTAAATCTTCCACATATTTACGTTTGTCGGTTCTGATGCTCCTCTTCACTTGCTTGTTTACTTCTGTGTATTCAGCTTGTGCCTTGGCTTTCTCTGCTCTTGTTTGACTGGCATTGATTGGTGCCTTCTTGTTCCTCCTTTCTTGAATCTTATCCAGTGTATCAACAGTGATCCATTCCTTGTGATGGTGGTTCTTGTGACCCAGGACCTCATGACATGTTGAAGTGATTGCCTCTTTGATCCCCTTCCAGTTGTTCTCCACAGTAGTTTCTTCTCCATTGAGTAGATCATGAAAGGCCTGAAACTTGTTGCTGAGGACTATCTTGAATTTGTTGAGTTTGTCAGTATCCTGAAGAAAGGCCGTATTGAACTTTTGTGATATTGTCCGCGCCATTGTCCAGTACTTCTTGAGTTTCAATTTCATCTTGGCGACCAGCAAGTGATAATCTGATGCTATATCAGCTGCTCTCTTGGTTATCACATCCTCCATCGTCCTCCTGAACGTTTTGTTGATGCAAATATGGTTGATTTGGTTTTGCGTGGTGTGATCCGGTGAAGTCCATGTGGTTTTGTGTATGCGTTTATGTGGGAATATGATACCGCCTATGACCAGCTTATTGAAGGCACATAAAATTGCAAATCTCTCACCATCTTCGTTTCTTTCTCCCAGTCCGTGTCGTCCCATGATGTCTTCATATCCAGTGTTGTCCGTTCCAACCTTGGCATTGAAATGTCCCATTAGAATGATCAGGTCCTTTGTTGGGCACTTCTGTATGATTGACTGCAGCCTATTGTAGAACTGATCTTTAGCTTTTTCATTGTAGTCGTTGGTAGGCGCATAGCATTGGATGATGTTCATTGAAATGTCCTCTTTCTTTGTTTTGAAGAAGGCTTTGATGATCCTTGGTCCATGAGATTCCTATCCTATAAGTGCATTTTGCGCTTGTTTGGACAGCATCAATGCAACTCCTTGTGTATGCGGGGCATTTTCTTCTTCATGGCCGGAGTATAACATGAGCTCTCTTGAAGCTAGTAGTTGTTGTCCAACTGGCGTCCATTGTGTTTTACTGACCCCAAGCACCTCTAGGTTGTATCTCCTTATTTCTTCAGTAATTTGGAGGACTCTCCCGGTCTCCCACATTATACAAGTATTCCATGTACCTAAATAAATGGTTGATCTGGTTGTCAGAAGGGGCATCGGCCTCGTAACTTCCGAAGGAATTTGGCTTTCATCATGAGGCGTCACAGTTCTTCTAAAAGAAGACCTTCTGACTCCCAGGGCAGAGTTTAAAAGGTTTGAATAATTTTTTTCTGGTTAGCGTTTTTTTAGGGAGTCAGTTTTCTACGGGATGGGGACGCTAACTCCATGCCCAACCCTCCTTCTTTATCCGGGCTTGGGACCGGTAGTAGCCCCCGAAAGGACTCCAGGTGGAGTTGCCCGTTATTTATTACCTACAATTTAACCAATTATAACGCTTTGATTTAAGCATTCATCATCTTTCAAACAGAATAACATTAGAAATAACACTTAGAAATGTGTCAACACCATTTTAAATTATGTTTGGTTAACAAGACGAAAGAAGTGAATAACAAGACTTTTTTCATGTCTTGATCATCAAATCAAGGATTAATGAAACTGAATAAACACGTATGTTCTGATCATGTGCCAACTTACGAAAAGAAGTATTATAAGTAATATCTGTGTGATTTTAAAACAAAATAGTTCACTATACATGTGGTAGAATTCCTGATAAACAAAAAAAACTGAAACCAGATTAATTTCTAAGTTTTAAAGAAGAAAATATCTTGACGAGTATGAAGGAGGGCAACGGCTTTTTAAGTTGATCTTCAACGGAATACCAGAAAATGGGTGGTTCTCAAGAAGGAGCAAGTATATAATTCAGCTACACTTTTGGATTGTAACGTTTTAATCTTAAAATATCTACAAATTGTGCTTATATAATTAGCTGTTGATTATTTAGTAACGAGTGATGCCAAGTCAAGTATCTAAATATCGATCCATGAATATCAGAGTAATTGAATCTATTTTTCGCGTTGAAATAATTCCTCATTTCACAACTAATTTATTCCTTCATATCCGTAAACATGTTTCGGCCGGTATATAATAGGACAATGACCAACGGTTAGGAGAAATTACAGTAGTATTTAGATAATACATATATATAACCTTCGATCATCCATTTACATCTCGCCATGTGTTCTGAAAACTTAACTGTCTTGTCTGGCCACCAAGTGTTTTCCCTACGCCATGCTTTCGATGTACTGAAACTCTTCATTCCACCTGACGACTGTGACAACTTCGGAGCCACGTCCCACTATATACTATTTACAAGAGATCTTGTGAATAGCGTCCACTACATTGGGATAGAAAATCTGTACTACATCAAGTAAACAACAAACATTTAGTCACGTATGCAGTGATATTTAAGTGACAAAATCAACTAATGACAGTAATTTGTTATTTTTCACGCAATCATAACCGTTTATCAAAATCATAACACTGACAAATTTATTGATTATCTCATTTTATAATCATGAAACTATTCTCAAATGAACTAAAACTATTATTTTTGAAATAATGATCATTTCCAAGATTTCAATAAACTTCTGGTATTAACAAACAATGTCACACAATTGTATCACATCAATTCTAATATGCGATAGTGATGAACAAAACAACAACATCGATGTCATCTACAAGAGCGGATGGTTTCAACAATAATAATAATAAGTCATATTGGATAAAGTTGATGCAAATAAATGCACACACTCGATACTTTCTCATTCATGGTCATGCATAAGTAATTCAACAACATATTGAATAACTATAAGTTTTGAATTTAAGGTTTGATTAAAAACAATGTAGAAATGTCTCTGAATCATATGAAATTTGATACTTGAAAGTAGAACATTTGAGAAGATACGTCATTATAGATCCAGTTTATCAGTCAATAAAATAATCGATACGTAGTCATGTGATGACGATTATGAATAAGTAATTAACATGAGTATCAATATATATTGTACCACAACCATCAAATCGAAATTGTAGTGATTATCAACGATCACCTCTCTCTATCTCTCTCTTACCAACTCACCTCCAACAATAGCCTGGACTGGACTACTCTGTCGAGTTCATGAAATTCAAAATAATTATCACTATTAATAAGATACTTTGGAAATTATTGAATAAATATATGTAGCTGACTTATTCGACTCCGCCTGGGAAAAGCAAGATTCTCCGATACAACACAGCATCCAGTCACAATTGACGGAGAAGATTTGGAAGATGTAAAAACCTTCACACATTTGGTCAGCATCGTTGATGAACAGGGTGGATCTGATGCGGATGTGAAAGCGCGGATCGGTAAAGCAAGAGCAGCATATTTACAACTGAAGAACATCTGGAACTCAAAGCAACTCTCAACCAACACCAAGGTGAGGATTTTCAATACAAATGTCAAGACAGTTCTACCGTATGGGGCGGAAACCTGAAGAACTACGGAAGCCATCATCCAGAAAATACAAGTGTTTATTAACAGTTGTCTACGCAAAATACTTCGGATCCGTTGGCCAGACACTATTAGCAACAATCTACTGTGGGAAAGAACAAACCAGATACCAGCGGAGGAAGAATTTAAGAAGAAGCACTGGAAGTGGTATAGCGACTCACGTGCAAATGGGTTTATTTTCATTTAACTCAGTTAAGCCCTTTTGCTAACTTATTTAGCGGACAAAGCCATCCGCGCTATAGCAATGTATGGTATCCTTATTATTATTTTGAGCTTGTATGAAATACGTATGCTTGAATATTGATTACTGCCTACGCATTTATTCACTCTGCTAGTCTTACTATTAACCGCTTATTCGATTCGATTACTCATTCATTTCACATGGTATATATATGTCCATGTTATTCATATTGAACACACAATCGCTCACTCGCTCACACGGTCTCGTCACGCTCTTGCTCTGGCTCTCGTTCGCTTGCTTGCCTTTCGGCACAACTCTCCTATGCTTGTTTAACACATCTGTACATTTGGATATATGTGTGTGGTTTCGCAATAAACGTAATCGACACTTCGTATTTGCCTTCTGATTAATATACCGTTGGTACGTTATATAGAACGGTTATCACGACGAACTGTATACGAAGTTTAAGGATTATATCAAATACCGACCACCACAGTGGATAGGACACATATTGAGGAAAGCACCGAACTGCGCCACAAGGCAAGCCCTCACTTGGAATCCTCAATGTTAAAGGAAAAGAGGAAGACCAAAGAACACATTACGCTGGAAAATGGAGATAGATATGAGAAAAATGAACAAGAATTGGATGAAATTAGAAAAGAAGGCCCAGGACAGAGTGAGTTGGCGAATGCTGATCGGCGGCCTATGTTCCATTAGGAGTAACAGGCGTAAGTAAAGTAAATAAAAGCTGACTCATTCTCTTTCGAAATGATTTATTAGCAACTAGATTAGAAATCATGTAACTAAGTTAAAGTGACCAATATGTTTTAGTAAATAATCAAATAAATACTACTTTTGTATTGATAGTTAACATGAAAGTTGTATAGTTTATTCATCTCACAAGAAAAAGCCTTTTCTTTTTTCTTTTTATAATCCAGTACCAACATTATAAACTTCAATTGTTTCATTATTGTTTAATTAAAAGGTGTCAGGGTTTTCTTTTAAACATACAGAAAGTCACACTGACATTAATATAATTTTCAAAGTAAAACAAACAGAAAATGTCTTATTTTTAATGTAGCAACAAGAATTGACTTTCAATTAATAATCAATTATGTATTTCTTATTCTCTATTTGTTTACATTTTAAATGTAAACTCATTGTTTACTGTACATGGTTTCATTGTGAAGCTTTCAGTGTCATAAATGTGAATGCCTTTTTGAATGATAATGTAAACTTGATAATTAAACGATCTACTTTACAGAATACATAATTAATTATGAAAGTTAGTTCATTTGGATTTAGTTTTCATTATGATCTATGAAATGAAACTAAATGAACAAAATGTTCTCAAATACTATCAGAAATGTGTAGGTTGTTTTCAAGTTGACCAAACTATCAAAGAATATTTCTTTTTGTGATACTTGTAAATGAAACTGAGTTACAATTGATTTTGATAGCGTGATCATAAAGCTCAAGGACTGGTCATAAATGACATTTATGCTAGTAGTCGTTATGAATTAGTTATATATCTTATAGACTTTATCATATGAGGCGGAAATCCGTAGGGTAGATTAAGGTGTGTTACTTTTAGGCCTAGTCATTTATAAATCCCCCCGTTATAGAAAGGCAGCATCACCCCAGATGCCGATTGTCTAAAAAAAATAATCTTATTGTCCTGACGATAATACGGCTTTATCTTTGGACTATGAGTTTTATGCTTCTAAACTTATCGTCTTCCAATTGATTTGTCTAGCATGGTAGAGCCTAAATGAAAAAAAATGTAGAAAGGGACGGACTATTATAAGTAAATAAGTTATTCATCTTACCAAGGTCACAACCTACATAGCCTTATTTGTATTAGTGAGAGAGAGTGTGTGTGTGTGTGATGGAAATTCCTAAAAGTCGCACATACTTTTATTTGGTTTTGTCATTAAACCTCTCTACCCTTTCTTAGTCTTGTAATCTCTCATGGTTAATAGGAATAGCAGTTAAGATACCTGTGATAAGGACTAAAACGATTCGGCATACCATAATACAGGCTTGAAACTCAACTACATTTATTCACAGTATTTGTTACTAACTGTTAAAAAATACTTTTGTTAAGTAAATCCGTTTACGAGTTAACATTATATTCCTTGATTTGTGGCCTTCGACATAAACGATTTCTTATCTGTTCATATAAAAAAGTTAGTAAACGTCAAGTCAGGATAAAAAGTGGCTGTGAATTTCGAAAAATGAAATCATATATGTAAAGTTTAATTTGACTGTAACCTAACAGTACTAATGCACATCAACACACTCCCATCTAAATTAATGCCACAAACACACTCTATATAATCCAGAACATCACAAATTAAATTGAAATTCATACTAGGTGCACAAGTGAGTAGTTAAATAGAAAACGTGTTGAAGTTTTGAACTAGCGTTACTATGTTCTAATCCCGGAGTGAAAATCAACTCAGAAGTGAAGCGATACATCCTACTAAGGAGTCCTAAATGAAATGAAAAGCGAGTCCTCGATTCAACTGCCAGCTACACTTCACCTTCTCTGTGCATTTTATATGAATACCATAAAAATATTTTTAAAAACCTACCCGTTCTCTAACTTTTGGTCTCAACCACAGTGCTAGTAATTTGAACAAAACTTCCATAATTGGCGGTTCATTATAATAGATTATTCCTTTCATACGAAATGGATAAGCTTCCTAACGGAAAATAATTAGTTACAATTAAGGTTAACTTTTTTTTAAAGTAATTTCAAAATTTTAATTCGTTTGTAAAACTAACCACGGAGATTGGATACATGTCTGTGAATTTATTCCACATCCTCCTTTTTGATTGTTCAGTATGTGTAGGGTAGAAATTATTTTCGGGTAATTTTCCCGTTCATCTAGGGGGTGAGTGTAACACGTATGAGCATAATTTACACTGAGATTTTCATTTCAAGCTCTAACTTTCACTTTATTTGCTTATTTTCATCTGATAATTTAGAATTCTCTATAGTGCGATGTTCATGGAAGGCATATATACATATGCCGGGATAATTTATATCCTCATATGAAGCACTCACCCACTAGACAAAGGAGAAAATGCTTGAAAATATTGCACATCACACTTTTATTGAATATTGGAAAAAACGTATGGACGGTTAATAGATTTATTGAAGTTGCATATAGAGGTTTCTGTCTGTAAAATAAAAAATAACAATTTATATATTCTTCCGTATGGATATGCAGCATGCTACATTTTGGACGATGTTCAATTTGCCTCGATATATCTACAATTATCAATGAATCTTCAGTGTTTCTTATAAACAACAATATGATAATACAATTTCAGTCTGAAAAGGGATTTATAAACCCCCAGTCACGCATAAGCACCATTGTTTCAGATTGAATCGTTTTCTGAATTATTGGTATAAGTATCTGTTGTGACAGGCAATGTTCAAAATCTGACACTGATACATGGTGTGCTACGCGTTAACTCTCTAACTGACTACTTGAGCGAGAACACAAGAGTGGGACAGAAAGTGTATTGGGCTACCGAATAAAATGTACAAAGACTCATTTATATATATATATATATATCACTCTAATCCTTAAGAAATTAATCTATTTCTATGAAATGCACTCATCTTTTAGGTCACTTCTGATCGCCATCGGTTTACTTTCTCATTAGGCTACCTCTGATTGGCTTATAGCGACTCACGTGCAAATGGGTTTATTCTCATTTAACCCAGTTAAGCCCTTTTGCTAACTTATTTAGCGGACAAAGCCATCCGCACTATAACAATTTATTGTATCCTTATTAGTATTTTGTGCTTGTATGAAATACGTATGCTTGAATATTGATTACTGCCTACGCATTTATTCACTCTGCTAGTCTTACTACTAACCGCTTATTCGATTCGATTACTCATTCATTTCATATGGTATATATATGTCCATGTTATTCATATTGAACTCTTAATCACTCACTCGCTCACACGGTCTCGTCACGCTCTTGCTCTGGCTCTCGCTCGCTTGCTTGCCTTTCGGCACAACTCCTCCATGCTTGTTTAACACATCTGTACATTTGGATATATGTGTGTGGTCTCGCAATAAATGTAATCAACACTTCGTATTTGCCTTCTGATTATTATACCGTTGGGGGCGTGATACAGAACGGTTAGCAAGACGAATTGTTTACGAAGTTAAGAATTATATCAAATACCGACCACCACAGGCTCTCCATACCAGTAATTAATATTTGGATTTTCACTTTTTGAAGTGACTTTTAAATAGTATTCCATCGCATGTTCCAGAAACTTACAGACACTTACCTAATCCTCCTTCACACTCCGTCCCTTGCTACATTTAGGTTTTGTGATTATTGTCTCGCTTGTCTCAACAACTTTTCCCAATATAACTAAACAATATTTCTAAGAATATTTCTCGATATATACTGATACCAATAGATTGCAGTCACTTTATTTAAATTCATCAAAGCTGGCCCAACAGTCAATGTATTACCAGTAACACCATTTATGTTAAAATCAGCCTTGATGTAATTTGTTCTAATGAACATTTTCTGTAGCAACAGTTGCATTTGAAAACAACCCTCATGCTTCATTTCAAAAACATTTTTATTAATTTGCAAACTCCAATCATTTTCCTTCGCAACAAACAGTTTGAAAGTATTGTACAATCACGCTTTCATCAAAATCACACAATATCGCTTTGTCAACGGTAAGCATTTTCAGTTCAAAGACGGGTTGTAACCTTGAAATCGCTATCAAGACGCTGATCGATCCTTTCATATATTATGCATTCGCCTAACTTAACGCGATTGTCATTTGAATTGTGTACGTACAATGTTGTTTATTATGAAATTAAATATTTTGACATTATATTAATCAGTTAATATGAAAACAAAATTATTTAACAATGTTTCTACTGGACCGAAAAAATGTATGTATGTACATATAAAAGCTTACCTGTAATACTTTACTTAAATCTTTAATGGTCTTTTTCGGATTAATTGTGTCCAATAGAGAAGGTGAGACACCGGTGAAATCAATAAATACTCGCAAACCACAAATTTGAACCCTTGGATCTTCCAAAATACGATCTAACTGAATCATGAGTAATTTGAGTACACTCTCGGTAGATACACGATTATTGTTCCAGCAACCTAAAAACAAAATAATTAATGCATACTCTGAAAATGTCAAATTAACTAATAATTAAATATTGTATTGTTTGATGTAAAAACGTTATTTTAAGAGTTGAATTCATGAGTCGATTTAACCTAGACCACTATTGAAAACCCGGAATCACTAAACGACCGTCTCGTTCTATTATGGGACTCCTGAGTAGAGTGCATTCACGACCCCGCATGCGGGATGCAAACCCAGGATCTTCAGTTTCGCGCGCGAACATGGGATCGTGGATGCGCACTGTTGAGGAGTCCCATACTAGAGCGAAATGGTCGTCCAGTGCTTCCAGGTTTTTAAAAGTAGTCCAGCTCAGATCAACTCATTAATTCAACTCGTAACATTAATTCAAGCTCCATAAATCCTCATTCTGATAATAAAAAGATTTTATTATTCAAATACAATCTCTTACCACATGCAGCTTCCCGGATAAAGGGACCATTTAGTAATACATATGTTTCAAATTCAGGACAGAGATAATGGAAAAAGATGAAAAAGTATGGATTGATTAAGGTCATTTTAAAAATGCCGAAACAATCATTTCGGATGAATGGTATGAACTAATTTGTTTACTTGGTTAGTTAATCATTAGACATATTGATGCATACAGTCACAAACTTGATTAAGGGAATGTTAAAATTCTTGATCAAGAAGATTTCTAGGATCATTAAATTAAAATCAACTGACAGACATATCGATATAGATCAAATTTATATATCGATGTGGAAAAAGTTAAACAATCACCATCGTCAGACACCAACTGTTCAAACAGACAAAATGGGAACAAAAACTGAACCCATAAAGACAATAAACCAGTAAATATAACCAGTCGAAAACATAGTTATCAGAACGAATAATCAGAAATCTCGCTTCTGCTGATGTTGTTCAAAATAAAAGCAAGAGCTTCGTACTTAGATCATCTAACCTACAGAAAGCAACAAAACCGAAATCATCCTTCTGAGTAACAAAGATTTCTCACCACTTCAAAACTTTGCACTACTGAAAAAGAGACTGATCAATTGCAGTCCTAAAGGTCAGTGGAAAGATTCAAACAACTAATACAAGTAAACCAATAGCATTTTTTCAACAGGATGTGCACTCAAACCCAGAGATTTATTCTTCCATCACTCTGTCCCATGTTCATAGTTATTAGTCATGTAAGATTGAATGTGTGATACTACTTAAATAAAAATTAACTTAGTAATCATTTAAGTCAACTGTGCTAAATTTAGACCCATTTAAAATTGTTTATAAAAGTCTATATGTCCATTTGTGATCATATATATATGTGTGTTCATCTGCAAAAGATTATAATAACTTACCAATTCGAATCAGAAATAAAAATGTCCCATCATGAAGGAATCCAATTGGACAATGAAAGCTGATCAGAATAATAGACAAACATTGAAATAATGAAAAGAATGACTTATAATCAAACAGGGGTTTTGTGGATATTATAGTAAATTGACAGTTGAATTCATGAGGCAATTGAAGCTAGACCACCATGGAAAACCTGAAAGCATTGGACGGTCGTTTCATACCAGAATGGGACTTATCAGCAGTAGTCATCTACGATCCCGCCCCACAAGATTCGAATCCAGAACCTATCAGTCTCGCACTCGAACGCTTAACCTTATTTATATTAGATATTATTTCATTTTAAAATGTTTTATCCAAATATTTACTAACATTGAGCAACAATTACATTCTATTTATTCAAATTACTGTTAGCATTTGTTCAGCGATCATGAAATATTTTATAATGATCATTATTAATTTTTCATTCTGTTCATCTATTCGATTTAATTTACAGAAGCAGTTGTTGAATACTGGAATGATTCAACAACTGCATATCATAGCAACATAATTGAATATATAGTTGTATTTTGTTTCTTTTGAAACAAGTTACATTGATTAAAGTTATGAAAAATGCACATTTCTAGGTTGATAAATAACTTCTAATGCGTGTGTTATGCTGCAACGGTATAGTTAATACTGTAGATATCTAGTCATAATATAAGTAAAATCAAAGTCCCATTATCAAAAAGAACATGTCCAATTTATGATCTTAGCTTGATCAAATTTTTATAAACTTATTAGATGATCTGATTTACTGAATGTAAATACTTCCTACCCTACATTTTCTTAAGAAAATATTGTGAACTTATAATTCATTTTTTCAAATATGTTTCCCTTAAAGTTAGCTATTCCGTCAGTCAGTCGCGTCGTCGGAGGTCAACAAAACGAAAATCTCGTTAGGAAATCAAAGAAAATCTGAAAAAAACCAATCACAGATAAGGTCATCGGAACAGGTTGATCTAGCAATTAGGGATTAAATAAACAGCTCACTTCTATGCGAAGCGAACTCTGATGTTGTCCAGAACAGCGATAAAAGCTTTGAAATTAAACCAGCTAGCTCAGAGAGTATAAGGCAGTACTTCCAGGTTTTCAATTGTGATCTTGATTTAATCGGTTTACGATATCAACAAAATCCAAAAAATACATTATACCATTAAAGCATGATGAGAATTTATTGCAAAGAATAATCTTCTTTCATGTTAGATAGTGGTTGGAGGTAGTCAACAGGAAACTCTGGACCTACGTTTTGTGCTGTTTGACACTTATCACAAAAGTGTACATGTATCTTGAGGGAACTAATAACCTCTACCAGATTTAATCTCGTGTTACTCAGCTTCCTTCTCAGAAACGTGACCATTGAGCTATCCAGATTAATGGTATTGGTCCCTACTCAGTGATAGATCAGTTGTAAAAATATTCTCTATCTTATTATATACATTTTAATATAATGTTATGTCTGTTCAACAGTAAAATAAAAATTACTGGCCGCTCGATTACAATTTAATAGTTTAAATGGAACAAGTTCATAGCGTAGCATGAACATCTTGAGTTTGAATCCATGGTTGGAGATAGTCATTGTACACTTATAAGAAATTCAGACCTAAGTAAAAACAATTCAGTGTTCCCTCATTTCCCGTAGTTTATCAACTAAAGTCAATTTATGAAACTAATAGGTTGAACAAATCTAGACATATCATGTGCTTGTGTTCAGATGCCATCTCAATTTCAATTGGTAATTGAGAAAAGATAAACAAGTCACTTTTTGGGAAGCAATCGATTCTGCACTTGGTCAAGGTCCCAGCCTTAATGACCTAGTCTGATTCAGAAATATATATATATATATATATATATATATTCATACCGGTGATGTTTTTATTTTGTCACTTTGCCTTGTCAATGAAATCTTTCTAGTCATTTCTCAGTCTTCTCACTAGTATATTTAGTTGAGCATACTATTGAAATGGTAGAGATGATGTTCGGTTTTTCTTCTACCTGAAGTTTGCGCTGATGTTGTTCAAAAAGAACGAAGGCTCAACAACTAAACCAACCAGCTCATTCGACGAAACCCCACCAAAAAACCGAGCATGCCATCTACCTGAATTGAGGCGTCTGATAATAACGGAATTGAACGAGAACACAAGTGGGGACAAACTAATGTATTTTAATAAAACATAACAGAATATCTTAGTAAACTCTGAGAACCGTACAGTAAATACTTTATTTGCAAAATTTTCATTAATTGTCCTGCATTTCCATACCAATTGCCTTCTGTCCCCATTCTTCCCTTCTCGATCTTCTCAAACTTCTGCTGCCAGGTATTCTATTCCTGACTAGCGTTACATACTACTCACGTCGAAATAAGTAGCACACACCACAGTATTATTTAAATGCTAATGAACTAATTAATTAACCACATTTACTCAACCAATTACTTACCCCATGTTTAAATATTCATCAAGTATTGTATTAGTTATGGTTGAACGATCATACCAATTAACCACAGGACTTTCTGGTGATGTACGCAATGTAATAAAATTATCTAAACGCATTTGAGCTTCTGAATGATTATATTTTGCTTGACGTAGAAATGGCAAGAATATTCGATCATCTAAAAACCGACAATATATCGATTATATCTTTAAAATGAAAATATAAACAATGGTGGTGAAAACTTGTAGCTCAGGTGGATGATTTTGATGGAGTTTTGTTCTCTGACCTGAATGGTTTGGTCGACTCCATCAAAACATAAACAATATTTTATGATATATTCTTCATATAGTCTCTATTGTAAGTTATCTTATGATTTGGTTAATTAGTGTTATTCCCATTTATCTTCTGAAAAATAAAATTTATTTTAAAATCACTAAGATGTACAACATCATTTGATTACTGAATGTTATCCAATGTCATTGTTTGTCTAACTCTACATAGAACTCATTAAAATTCTACCGATCAATTTGAAAGTGTATTTAATAGTCTAAATGACTCGATATTATGTGCACTATGTTGGAATGAGATCTGACTAACAGGTAATCAGCATCAAGTCTTGAATTAATGTCCCATGTAAGGTAACACTTGTTAGCAATACCACATGCTTGATACAGACTGAATATATGGTCTGTTAGTTCAAAACCAGAATACTTTCTAATCGTTAATTTATTACTTTACATAAGTATGAAGTATGCATTAGCATAAATTCATAGCTGATATTTTATTTATTTATTTCTACAGAAATGATAATAATAACCATCAAATATGAGCTTCGAGTCAAAATGTTTGTATGATGTTTAATAGTGCTGAACAGAACTAGATGAAGAACTGAGTAAACTTACAACTCACTAATTGGCATCGAGTGCCTTAGTCACTAAGCTACTTCGTTAAGTATTTCATCATGTTAAACAGTATAGAATAAATGGATTTATGACTAACAGTAGAATCAGCTTAATGTATATCCATCCTAGTGTTGATGTTGGTGTGTCCTTGAAACCATTACAACTCACAGAACTAACTATTCAATAAAAAACTAGTACAAAATGGCCATATTGAGACAATCCACACTAGATGCACATATATCAACAAAGACTAATCAAAATCCAGTCAAGATTATCAGCATTGGTATAATTAAAATCCCTTGTCATAATGATATCAATGAATGAATATATTTCAATTGTCTCACTTTATACAAGTCCTAAACTTTGTTTTCTCTTTTGACATGTGCTTTGCAGCAGTATCGACCAAAGAACACATAACGCCGAGAAATGGAGATAGAAATGAGAAAAATGAACAAAAGTTGGATAGAACTGGAAAGGAAGGCCTAAGACAGACTGGGTTGGAGAATGTTGGTCAGCGGTCTATGCTCCATTGGAAGTAATAGGCGCAAGTTCATTTCAAGTTCAAGTTAAAACTTATTTATTTTCATTTGCCTCATCCATAAATTTAAATAATCTAGATCTTACTAAACATTTTAAATCATGTTAGAGTTATGGTTCAGTTTTATGTAAATGTTTAAAAAAGCCATATAATTGATAATAGCGATTTTAATACTGTATAAGCATCAGATTCAGTGATTAAACGAAAACTTAAATCATAAAAAGACGTAGGAGTTTCCCTTTTTTCTGATACTTACAACAAAATTATCAAATATATTCCAACAAGTATAAGCCTAGGGGATTTGTGACGGTCACAGAATTCTCATATTTTAAACTATAAAATGACCTTGGCTGGATCGATATTGAGAACCTGGAGGGACTGAATAGCCGTTTCGCCCTAGAGTTGAACTCTTCAGCAGTACTCATCCACAATACCACATCAGGGAATCGAACTCAGGGACTTCTGTCTTGTACACAAACACATCACCTCTAGACCACTGAGTTGGATTCCATACCTCCAAAAGTAGTCTAGATAAAAATAATTAGTCATTTAAAATAATGAAAATCCTACATTGTCCAAAAATCTCTCAATATGAATAACAAATACGTGCACAGTAGTAAAACTCAGCCCGTAGCTCTTCTAGAGTTACTGCCGGTCCAAAGGCCAGGTGAAGGAGAAGGTTTGGGCATGCGGTTAGCGACACCAGCCCGTAGAAAACTAACTCGCTAAAATACGCTAACCAGAAAAAATAATTCAAATCATTTAAACTCTGCCCTGAAAGTTAGAAGGTCTTCATTTAGAAGAATTATGACGCCTCATGGTGAAAGCCGAATTCCTTCGGAAGCCACGAGGCCAATGCCCCTCCTAACAACCACAGCAACAATTTTTATAGGTACATGGAACGTCCGAACAATGTGGGAGACCGGGAAGACCAGTCAAATAACAACGGAAATGAGGAGATACAAATTGACAGTACTGGGAATCAGCGAAACCCACTGGACTCAAGCTGGACAACAAAGGCTAGATACGGGAGAGATGCTGCTACACTCCAGTCACGAAAAGGAAAGTGATCCACACACTCAGGGAGTCGCTCTAATGCTGTCCAAAGTAGCACGAAATGCACTTGTAGGATAGGAATCTCATGGATTCAGAATCATCAAAGCATCATACAAAACAAAGAAGGAGGGGATCACAATGAATATTATCCAATGTTATGCACCCACAAATGATAGCAACGACGACATTAACGATCGATTCTACGAGAGGCTGCAGTCAATCATAGAGAAGTGCCCAAGAAAGGACCTCACCATTCTGATGGGTTATCTAAATGCCAAAGTCGGAATAGACAACACCGGATATGAAGATATTATGGGACGACATGAACTGACTGAGAGAGAGAAACGAAAATGGTGAAAGATTTGCAAATCTGTGTGCATTCAACAAATTGATCATAGGTGGCACAATATTTCCACACAAACGTATACACGAAGCTACATGGATCTCACCAGACCACAACACAGAACCAGATAGATCATATTTGCATCAATAAAAATTCCGAAGGACAATGGATGATGTGAGAACCAGGAGAGGAGCTGACATAGCTTCAAATCACCACCTAGATGTGGCCAATTTAAAACTGAAGCTAAAGAGAAACTGGACAACTGGACAAACAGCACTACAAAGGTTCAATACAGCCTTCCTTCGAGATACTAACAAACTCAATAAATTCAAGATAGGTCTCAACAACAGGTTCCAAGCCCTACAGGATCTACTGAAGGAAGAAGAAACTACTATAGAGGACAACTGAAAAGGTATCAAAGAAGCACTGACTTCAACGTGTCAAGAGGTTCTAGGCCTAGAGAAGCACCATCATAAGGAATGGATCTCCATAGAAACACTGTACAGGATCAAAGAAAGGAAAAACAAGAAAATAGCAATTAGCAACAGCCAAACATGGGCAGAGAAAATTTAAGCACAAGCTGAATTCATAGAAGCAAACATTACGGAGTAACTGAGAAGATTGTCAACATCATCTGGAACTCATACGACGGACTACAGTGCAATGTAGTGTATGGAGGACAGCTGACAGATGCATTACAAGTAAGGACCAGAGTCGGACAAGGCTATTTACACTCTCCCTTCCTCTTTCTTCTGGTGGTCGACTGGATTATGAAGACGTCGAAATTTGAGGAAAAACACGGCTTACAATGAACAGATCAGAATCAATTAAACTATTTGGAAACACCAAGATCTTCAAATACAACACGGACAACACCAATCCAATCACACTTGATGGCGAAACTCTGGAAGATGTAGAATACTTCACACACCTAGGAAGCATCATCGATGAACAAGGAGGTTCAGATGCAGACGTAAAGGCGAGGATTGGCAAAGCAAGGGCCTCATTCTTACATCTGAAGAATATATGGAACTCAAATCAACTGTCAACCAATATCAAAGTCGAAATCTTCAATACGAACGTCAAGGCAGTTCTATTGTACGGAGCTGAAACTTGGAGAACTACAACAACCACAATCAAGAAGGTACAAGTACTTATAAATAGTTGTCTACGCAAGATACTCATCATCCACTGGCCGGATACCATCAGCAATAGCCTTCTCTGGGAGAGAACAAACCAACTTCCAGATGAAGAAGAAATTAGGAAAAGACGATGGAAATGGATAGGACGTGCATTACGCAAATCGTCAAACTGCATCACGAGGCAAGCCCTAACTTGTAATCCTGAAGGGAAGCGGATAAGATGAAAGCCAAAGAACACATTACGTCGGGAACGAGAAGCAGATATGAAAAGGATTAATTACAACTGGAAGGATTTGGAAAGGATTGCTCAAGACATGGTTGGATGGAGAATTCTGGTGGTTGGTCTATGCTCCTTCACGAGGAGTAACAGGCGCAAGTATTTAAGTTCACTAGGAAATGTCTTCAAGACGCAACTCATATTTCTAGTGAGAAGCTGTGCCTCGTGGAGTTCAACCACGTCTAGTGTAAGGTAATTACCAACCGTAGGTAATGGATGAGTGTTTCACAAGATCATGAATTGACTCAAGTTAGACATTGATACTAATGAATACCGGCTCAATGGTTTGAATTTCGAGTGTTTGCGTACAAAACCAAAGGTCCTTGGTTCGATTCCCGGATGCGTGGTCGTAAATGTACACTGGTGATAAGTGTAACACTAAGACGAAACGTCCTTCTATAGCTTCCTAGTTTGTAACAATGTTCTAGCTAGTGTCAGTGCATGAGTTAAATTTTAAAAATATTCATCTATCAATTCTATTTCCAATAAGTCAATAAAATAAAATCATTTTCACTGATCAATTAATCGATTGCAAAACGTTCCATCATTTAAATAATTAAAAATTAACCGATATTTAATTTTATAAATACAATCAAAATCAATAAACTTTGTGCGATTAGTATCTTTAGTTAATTTAATAATTACTTGTTTAGTATTAGAAAAACAATTAAATTATCAATGTGGAGTTGGTAACATTACTACATTTTTTATTGAGATCATGAATGAATGAGTGTTAAGCTTTTGTACGAGAGACCGAAGGTTCTGAGTTCGAATCCCACCTATGGGATTGTAGATACGCACTACTACAAAGTCCCATATAAGGACAAAACCACCGTCCAGTGTTTCTAGGTTTTCAATGGTGGTCTACCACTCATTGATCGATGATCTCAATTAAAAAATAAATTAAATATCTTCATTATTATTATTAATGGCTTTATTCAATATAATATTTTGGTACAATATAGAAATCTCAGCACAAGATATCTCAACAAGTTTCTTTTACAAAAAACAAAGACAAAAAAAGAAAGCAAAAATGTTAAAAAATCTGAAAAACTGCACAACTTTCCAAATTAGAGACATGTTAAGAGTGCAGGTTATTGACTAGGTTAACTCATACAACCTGTTCGTCACAGAGTATATTTGCTAGATAAAGTATTATAGAACTTTTATACTTTTGCTTGCGTGCATGAATTTTAATGTAATTACGTCTCGTTCTACCGGAAGATATACAATGAGAAAGTTATGAGTGAAGGGGATGGTTAGTATCTGTTAAGATAACGCCTGTCAGAAGTTTGCATGACTTTAGATGTCTATCCACAACAATATTAATTATGAGCTCGTAAGATTCACCACACATCTTGCTAACTGCCTTCAGCACTCTCCGCAATACAGCAGTCTTTTCTTAAAAACCCGGTAAAGAATCATGGAGAACAGTAAAGAATAATAGGTAATATGCAAGAATTGACAAATTGTAAGAGTAAATGACGAGTAATCCCAAGGGCATGCAATCTCCTAATGTAGTAAGTCAGACGGAAAACTTTCTACGATAACAGTAACACATGAGAAGTCCAAGACAGATCACAGGAAAAGGTAACACCAAGATAATTGACCTTCAACACTGTGTTTATCAAAGAGTCTCCAATGGCACAAGCATTATGGGATCTCGAAATGGTGTTTAGATTCCGTTCATGTCTCATGCTAAAGTTAACAGCTTGACATTTTCATAATTGCTATCAAATCTATTATAAACATGCAAAATGTGTAAAAAAAAAGATTTTTCTTATTACTTTTAAAGTTGTAAGTATGTGGTATTAGTAGTATGTAACACTAATCCGAAGTGGAAATCGGGAAGTAGAAGGCTAAGAAGGTCGAGTTGAACAGAATAAAAGGAAAAAAATAGAAAGAAATTGTGAACTTGAAGAATCATATAGAAGGTGAAAGACAAATGATAGAAGATTTGCAAATGAAGTATCAGTCTATAGTTCTCATAGTTTACGAAGATATTTTGTAATTTTTGTATAAAGTAACAGATTAATTATCCCCATCTGAATGTTCATTCATTATGATAGTAGTAATGTGGTGCGTGCTACTTATATTGATATAAGTAGTATATTATACGAGTTAGGAATGTAATGTCTGGCAACAGAAGATGATGGAAGATCAAGAAAGCAAGAGCGGGCATATATTGCAATTTGTATGAAAATGTAAGAACAATGAAGTCTGAAGTATTTTGAGACAATTGGTGGACATTTTGCAAACTAACGATTTAATATATAGTTCTCAGATTTTATTGAGATGTTCTGTAATGTTGTACCAAGTACATTCGGTCGTCCTCATCTGTGTTCGGTGCACTACAGTAATAATTACTTGATGTTATCAATGAAATCGGTTGTACATACAATACTTACCTGTTTTAATTCAAGTAATTCATTAATGTCTCATTAGATATATCAGTTTTATATTATTGAAATTATTGGGAAATATGGGATTATTATTAGTTTCTTAACCGCTCAACATAAAATTTAAAGAAATACTCACTGAACAAGTGAATAAGTAGATATTTATTATGGGGTTATACAGAAATTTTTACAATTTAACTTTTTACATTACAAATTAATTTTTGATGAGATCACCAATAAAATAACTGAGAACTTTTGAACATGTGATTCATTCTAACATGACAATTCTCACAGATACTGTTCCATAATCTTAGCAAGGGTCAATAATTATTGCTTCTTATATTTCAAACGAGCATATATTCATTCATGAACATGTTTACTATTTACAAAATCAATCAGTATACTTAAATAAATAACAGGAAATACTGGAATGTAGTTTAAATCATTTTTTTTTAGTAGAAATTACTAAATACAAGTCTAAATTGATTTTGAAAATTTAAAGAAAGTAATCTGAAGAATTATCAGATAATAAGGATGAAGAAATGTTATTCCTTGTCAGAAAGTCTACATTTCCTCAATGTCATATAGTTATTCTAAGTACATGTGGATAGGACACACTTTGAGAAAAGCACCCAACTACGTCACAATACAAGCCCTCACTGGAAATCCTTAAAGCCAAAGAAGGAGAGGAAGATGAAAGAACATATTACTCCGAGAAATGAGAAGAATGAACAACAATTGGATAGAACTAGGAAGGAAGGCCGATGACCGAGTGGGTTGGAGGAATGCTGGTCGGCGGCCTATGTTCGATTGAGAGTAATAAGCATAAGTAAGTACTCTAAGTACATATTTACGATTAATTCTTTCCAGTATATCCTATGATAAATAAATTCCTAATGAACAATGACCATTAATATTACATACATACAGTTTAGTTGGAAAACGCTTTTATTTAAACATTTACAGAATTCGCGTACAAAGTCAAATTCTGTCTTAATTCCATTAAAACAGTAACAACTCTGTGATTTAATTCGCAATAGCTTCCAGTACTTGATGTATGTATTAGTCGAAATGTATCAGCAGAATAGAATTATATTTATATAAGTCTATAAAATGACATCATAGAAACGTTATAGTAATGAAATTTAAGACAAGTCAATCTTCTGCCTTCCAAAATACTTCCCGTCTTCTGGATTACACTTGTCTTATCTCTGTATTTTCTAAAGTCCAAAAAATTAACAAAAGTCCTCAGAAATTAAATTTTTGATTAGGTTGATCGCTTCAAGAGATTCCCTTAACACCATCATGTGAGGTAACAATAAAGTTCATTAGCGATCAACTAAAAATCAAATCAACAGTCAGAAAGCACAATGCACCGTACACATTTAATGTTTTCATCAACACAGGAGGTCAGTAGTCGTTCTGGTCTTTTATCATATATACAGTCTTCATAATCTTCCTCAATCCGAGTGAAAAAAGTACTGCTTCATTCAAAGGATTTTCTCCACAATCACCGCAAATACATTTCATGAATTTCCCGAACTCCCTAGGATCCACACTGACTAATTGCAGTCCATGACGAAACCCAACTTTAATCCTGAACCATCCAAATGATAAGTTATCGTTTGATTATTATTAATTAGCTTTGAAATGGTTTTCTGTCATTTTGTTAAGATCACACTAGTTACCAATTTATTCATTTTACATTTTATTATTATCTAAAAAAGACGTAGGACACACTGTAGAAATGAGAAAGAATTCTATGTTGTAATATATAAATTGTAATTTGGATTCTTTCGATCTTTATTACCCAATCTCCAAGCTAGAAAAAATATAACTAATTTATCAAGATGGATCTCTTGGATGATATTTCATTATTGACAGTGTTGGATTCTTGGAACTATATGATCTAAATATAGCCTTGTCATTATATTTTCAGACATCATCATCATGGCTAATTCAAACATTGTAATTGTTACAATTTCTTCATTTGATCGACATTTTTCATTGGCTAATAAAATCAGTTTATACTGTTGGTGAAGTCTTAGAAGATAAGATTAAATCATTCTTGTGAATTATAAATTTTATCTTCCATTACAGACTGTTATAAATTACAATGCTAAAAATCTATCTCACATTGTTTAACATTAAAACATACATCTTGCAATTGTATAGTGTAATTGTATCTATTACAAAATGAGGGAACACTGAAGTTGGACTTTAATTGACGTTCACATAGAAAAAACTCCCGCGTGTGGTATCGCGAATGAGCACTGCTCAGGAGTTTCATACTAAGACGAAACGACCGTCCAGTGTTTACAGATTTTCAATGATGATCTAGCTTAGATCGACTCATAAATTCAACAATTAAAAAACTGAGCATGATAAACCCTTAGTCTAAACACAATTCCGATTAAGTTTTCATTCATTTCGAAATCTTGTTCAACTATTCAACCTGCTCAATATACTTAAATTATCTTGAATGATTATAATAACGTTTAAGGTAAACAGTTAATATCTGCTATCTGTACTTCAATTAGATAAAAATCATTACAGTAAAATAGCACCATTGTGACTTACCATCTGCACAAGAAAGGTGTGGCATTGAACGTAACCATCTTTTAAAACTGACCAAATGTGCATTAATATGTGATGTGTTTTCACGAACCTCTTTAACAGATTTATCTTTGAAAAACTTTGTAATTGGTGCACAAGGTGATAAATGAAAAGTTCCCGATGACATATTCATTATATTGTGAAGGAATTTAAATGATTAACATAAAAATACAAATATAAATTGAATCAGAATCACTGAATTACACTTTAATAGAAACTTAAATGATCAATGTATTTCTTAATTCTAGGAATGAATATATAAATGGGGCACATGCCCTAGTCAACCAATTAAAATCATTATATCACACAATATTTAAGTAGATCAATATAAATTTAATCATTGTATGTCTGTTACACTAAATTAATTACCTTTACATGAGCACTAATTAGCTAAATGAATAAACTCCACTTAGTCTCTTCAGTTTCATTATAAATGTGCAGACATATATATTTGTTTTGTTAAACATGATAGTGATGTATTGTAAAACAATATTGTGCAGCATGGTGCATAAACGTTATAGTCTTACTTAAGCTTAAATTACTAAGAAAATAGATAACATATACTTGTTTCTCAGTTTTCCTTATTAACTCAAGCTTGTATGATAAAACCATTTGATCTAACATAGGGGTTGTGGAGATTATTAAGTTTTTGATTGAGATCATGAACCGATTGATGTTTGACTACCACCTTTGGAAACTTACATCTCAATCAAAAACTTAATAATCTCCACAACCCCTATACTAGTAATCAACATGTGCTCACTAGTGACTAGCTTCGTGAGGGAATTCTCGCAGTTCTAGTGAGAAGCCGTGACCAGTGGAGCTAATCCGTGTCGGGTAGAGACAGGTATCTACCTCAGTACAACGGAAGTTGGTCGCGCAATTTCGTGGATTGGTTGATGTTAGGTACTAACACCGTTGAATGCCGGCTTAGTGGTCCAGTTGGTTAAGCGTTCACGAGCGAGACCGGATGCCCTGGGTTCGAATCCCGCGAGCGGGATCGTGGATGCGCACTGCTGAGTAGTCCCACAATAGGACGAAACGGCCGTCCAGTGCTTCCAGGTTTCCAACGGTGGTGGTCTAACATCAATCTATTCATGATCTCAATCAAATAATGTTTGATCTAAGTTGTTTATAGATTTCAGTTTAATAACACAAGAAATGATATAGACTGTGAAACCACTAAAAATAAATGATCAGTAGACAGGTGTTTAGTGCTAGTTTAACGATCGTCAGTCAGGTGAACATACTACAAAAGTCAAGGGATCAAAATTGGAAAATTCTGTTCATTCATGCGATAGAGCTACACTTGTCGAATGTCATTCCTATATATTGTTGTTTTCGTTCTGATTTTCTCGAATCTTGAAGAGTTCAAAGTTTGTAAAAAATAACTGTCGGGCTCTCCTTGGTTTTTAATGACTTTCCAGTTAATATCAGTTCGTACACATAAACTAAATTGAAAATAATTGGTAAATAATCATAATACCTTCAAATCCCCAGTTAACGCTAAGAGTGAGGAAATTTCTCTATTTCTTTTACCTATACCATTATAATCTCCATCGAAAAAATTCCTACCAACTACCAACGCTCAACTTGTAATTTACAATTTAGATACAGTCTACATCAAGAGTAAGAATCTCGTGTAATTCATCTTTCACATGATTCCATATTCTCTGTTTGATCACGCAGATGATATATTTAACAATTATAAATATCAATGGTTAAGATCATGAGTCAGCTGAAGCTAAACCACCATGGAAAACCTGGAAGCGCTGGACGGCCGTTTCGTCCTGTTGTGGGACTCCTCAGCGGTGTGCATTTACGACCTCGCCCCCTGCGAGATTCGAACCCAGGACCTCCTGGTTTCTAGTGAAAAGTAGTGACCCGTGGAGTTCAACCAGATCTGTTGTGAGATAGTAACTCACTGAAGACAGTGGTGGATGTGTCGCTCAGTTTCGTGGATTAGTTGAAGTTAGACATTAACACCGCTGGATGCCGGCTCAGTGGTCTAGTGGTTTAGTGCTCATGTGAGAGGTTGAAGATCCTGGGTTTGACTCCCGAGTACGCTATCGTGGATGAGCACTGCTCAGGAGTCCCATACTAGGACGAAACGGCCGTCCAGTGCTTCCAGATTTTCAATGGTGGACTAGCTTAGATCGACTCATGAATTCAACAATTAAAATACAAATGTCTTATGTTAACTGTAAGATGAATAATGCTTACCTACATCAGAAATTATAGAAATCTATATCTACTAACCTAATTTCTGTTTACAGAAAAAAAGTTTATACAGCCTCAGAATTTAGCTTGACCTTTCACTTAGATACTATTACGTTTACTAAAAAATCTTTTTCTTTTCCTTTCAAATTTCCAAGACTTTGATTTTGTTAACATTTTAATTTTTAATTTTCATCTTACTTAATATTTTCGATTATCTTTGTATCTAGTTTCCATTACACCTGTCTTACAATTAATCTGTCATTACATTACGTAATCTAGTGTAATAATCTTTCTATTACATCATTTTCATTCATTGTTTACATGTCTTTATAGAACTAATACTTAGACACATATATGATCATAAACTCGTTGAAAAGAGATCCCTTCACTAAACTTCTTGTTTTTAAGAATCAGAAAAGGAATTATTTGTCAATCATTAATTTCACAAATAACGAAAGACATATTTCAACCTGTGAAATTTCTAAAAATATCCACAAAACCCATTCTGATAATAATCAACTGCTTACTAGTGACTGACTTCAGGAAAATACTCCTAGAGTTCTAGTGAGAAGCCGTTACCAGTGGAGTTCAACCAGGTCTGTTGTGAGATAACAACTCACTGAAGACAATGGTGTACGGTGGCGCAACTTCGTGGATTGGTTGAAATTAGACGTTAACACCGTTGGATGCCGGTTCAGTGGTCTAATGGTTAAGTGCTCGCGCGCGAAACCAGTAGGTCCTGGGTTTGAATCCCGCGGGGTGCGGGATCGTGGATGCGCACCGTCTAGGAGTCTCATACTAGAACGGAACGGCCGTCCAGTACTTCCAGGTTTTCCATGGTGGTCTAGCTTCAATTGACTCATGATTTCAACCTATGAAATTTCTAAAACTCTCCACAAAACCCATTCCGACATATTTTAATCGTTTAAAGATCCCTATCAAATTAAAAGGTGAAAATAGGCGAAACGCAAATGGGGAAGAAGAAATCCCTGTTCATGAGTCTACAATTCAGAGGGGATGCGGCTAGTGAAATATCAACTCAGAGATTACGCAGAACAATACAAAAATCTCTTAACGCCGGAGAGCTGCGATTAGTGTTTTATTATTATTATTATTATTAATGGCAGCGAAAGGTCGTAGGATTTTCATAAAAGCGCCTGAATAGGTTATGCGATTAATGGACATAATTATAAGTTAAAACTAACGAAAAAACCCAGATAACTTGTTGAAATAATCAGATGGCGGAAACTACTCTCCCAATGGTGACACCTGGGGTAAAAGATGAATTACCTAGAATGACTACCTCATTTTGTATTTATCAGTTCGACTGCTCCCCTGGAGCTAGTTATATTGATCGAAGTTCTAGGAATTTACATTTTCGTGCTCGTGAACACTTCCCAGCGTGGCTAAACAAAGGTTTGATGCAGAAAGTCAACAGCTCGATATTGGCCCATTTAGTACAAACTGGTCATAGTGCCAGCATAAACCAATCTTTTTCAATTATTTATAAGGTCAGTAATTTTTGCTAAAACTTGTCAGGCTTAAAGTCCTTTAAACGGCTGAAGCAGTAGCCATCTGGATGAAAAAACCGGAGCTATGCGTAAAGAATAAATATCTTCAAACACTCTTCCTCCCCTGGCCAACATGAAGGCCAATTAATCAATTGTAATCTTAGCTACTGTATGACCTAATTTGACTACGACCTTTCGTAGTCAATTGCAATTGTCTCTGTTATCTTTATTCATAAATCTTTGTATTATTATTATTACTATTGGTTAAACATCATTATTAATTTCCCCTATACATGATTCATTCACTTCACAATCATCCCTCCTTATCACGTCTTACTAATTTGTCCTCTGGCCAACATCAAGGCCAATTAATCAATCGTAATCTGAGTTATATCAACATTAACCATTTTATTGTATTTTGTTTAACAATCCTAAATTCACATACTTCAAACGATATACTGTGACGACGAACCACTGGTGAACTCGAGGAAGCTGTAAGAGGCCTTTAATGTGACCATTTTTCGGATTATTAATTTGAATGTATATGAATTGTAGAACCTGAAGAGAATTGATCGGAAAGAATATTCCTCGTTCAAATACTTGACATATTTACATCCAATTGAAAATTTTATTCCTAATTTTATGTAACTACTTAATAATAATTTACTGACTATGAAAACTCAACTTAGTTTTAATTTTAACTTTCTAAACACTATGAAACTAACTGATTATTATATTGTTCAACTGATATTGACTTTCTACTCATTTGAAGAATCTATCTATTAGTGTATAGTACTGATAAATAACCTATTGAGTAGAAGTATTTCTTAGCTCAATTTGTCTTTTAATATCTTAATGGTAATAGTTAATGAAGATTTGAAGAGTTTACATAAATTTAAGAAACAAGTGGGTGTAAAACAAGTAGTTTTAAAGTGGATGAAAGATGAATATGGTTGTAAACATTTGATGAGAAAATATGAAGTACAAATGAATTCGGATTATTCAGTGTCATTTATTGTTATTGTTTTATGAAATATGCAGATCTGTGTTATTCATCTGTAATTGTTCGAAGTTAGATACACCGAAGGATATTGTCGTCTAACAGAGTCTAGAAATTATTGACCGATTACTGACTACCAAACAACATTATCTTGAACGCTATTAGTTTTTTTTTCCTAAAAAAAATCTAAATGATCCGATTACTGTATTAGGTGATTAGAAGATATATCTAGATCATTGTTGTTCAGTTTACAAATTTTAAAAGTTATCCCTAATAAATTATAATCATAGAATCACGTACAATCACAAAGGATCCTATCCAGAATCTCTTAGTTTCACGGTGAGTAGGATTCTGAATACATGTATCATATATTTCCGAACTGAGTCAAGTGACGATATGAAGTTATCGTTTTTTATAATTCTTTCAATCTCACACACCATAGTTTTTCATCCTCGATTCCCGGAAATTCATTTGGCCATTTGCGACATCAATGAAACGGAAAATCAATGGTATACATTAATAAGGAAAAACAATCTTAAAACAGGCTTT